CTAAATAAAAGGTGCCGCATTATAATAGGGACCCAAAAACGGGACCCTAATTTTGACAACCACCCATATTCACGACTACGACCCTCTTGAGCCCAATAAAGGAACATGTAACATGTCCCAAAAGCCTACCTAGCAGATATATTGCAAGGTCTGTGAAGGAGTAACTGAGCTCTTTACCCAAAGGCTCATATATAGAATCCTATAAGGTAGGCCCAAAAAGGAACTACGGTTGATGATATAAATCCTGCATTACCTTAAGGACCCTAAACTATGGGAATTATGGTATATGCCTTATTATAGGTCATGCAGGATTTATATCATCAACCGTACTTTGGTGCCTCTGGGTAAACCCCCAGACTCTCATAGTCCCTGCTGTGGCGGCTCCCCAGGCCTAGTTTGCCAAAGGGACCTCGGCTAACTGTACCGGAAACGCATCAGCTTCTGTATGTTCGTGACGTGCCGGTTAAAAAATCCATGTGCGGCATCATAGCGTACGCCACACGGGATGCACACGCCGTGTCAGTTCGTCAGCTCCTCTCTTGTGGGCGGTGGCTGTGGCGCCCTTCGTCATGAAATTGGATCTCAGTCATCTCGATGTTGAATTGCTCTGCAAACTCTTCGTAGACAGCGTCCCTGTCAAAACGACAGAATGCGAAGGCGGAGACGACGGAGTTCGGAATGTGCAAGGTAGACACCAATCGGAGATTTCTCCAGGTCATGACCTTACCTCCGACAAAAGTCTATTTGGTGTTGGATGAACTTCAATGCCGTGATCTTTGTCGGAATACGGGTGTTGCGAGCTGTCCACATTCTGGAGGCTATGGGCCCGCAACCTACTGTATCCCCTAGAGAAAGAAACTTGAGCCTTTGCTTGTTGAGTACCCTAAAATTTCAAACCAGAAACAACAACCCTGGAGGTTAACGTCGAGGGGACTCTTGTTATGCAGGGCTCTTTCGGGACATACACAATTGTCGAACGGGCTCTAGGACCCTAAACCCTAAGCCCCTTAAGCCTCGCAGGGTCCTGCCTGTACCCAGCCTTCAGTCCCCGCATACCGCTAAAACCTAAACTCCCCAAGTAACCCCCCATGAAGCCCTTGAATATCGAGACCGTACTTGGAGGATCATGGGACTTAGTATTTAAGTAAGGTTATAAGTACCCTAATTCGGGTTCTAAGTAGTTGTAAGTACAGTTACAGTTACAATTAATATCCCTAGTTACTAAGTCCCACGACCCTTTAAGTAGTGACCGTTGTCCACGCTCATCTGGGCAAGCGGCTCTTGACCACACTCTTCCCCAAGGCGGGAACGCAGATCCTGCAAGACTGCAGGTCACCTTTCTAGATTCTCGTTGTAATACCTCGTTGGCATTGAGTTGCTAATAAGCTAATAGATTATCGGACCCTGCGAGTAGAACAGGTTGTAGAAAAAAAGATATCCCCAATCAGGATGGAGGGACCAAATCTCAGAGCCTCAAGTTCAGGTATGATTATCGAGATTGAGATTCTCAGGCATCGGCTTCCGGCCCAAGATCTGAGAACCCCGAAAGAACAAGTATCAAACCCACAAAACCCGGATAAGGCCCTAAGAAAGCCCTGTACACAACCGTTATCAGGAACCCCTCATACCCTAAAGGAACCCTCAAAGGAACCTTTTAACAACCCTTGAAGGAACCCTTACAGGAACCCTTAAAGGAACCCTTAAGGGAACCCTTAAAAGGAACACGTAACTTAACGGGAACCCTCAAGGGAACCCTAAACGAAGCCCTTAAAAAGGAACCCTTAAAGGTTAAAGGAACCCTGAACGGAACCCTTTTTAAGGGAACCCGAAAAAGAAACCCTAAACCCTAAACCCCTAAACCCTAAACCCCTAAACCCTAAAAGGGACCCTTAAAAGGAACCCGTAAGGCGCCCGTCCTCCAAGTAGAGATGAAGCTCGGCCCAGGCCCGACTATCCTGAAGTTAGGACTTAGTAAGGGTTCTTAAAGGGCTCCTTAAAGGGATCTATAGGGTTCCTTAAAGGGAAGTATAGGGTTTAGGAATTCGGGTACTACTTAGAGGATCATGGGACTTAGTAAGTAGGTTATAACTGGGGTTATAAGTCCCCTAAGTGGGGTTATCCTAATTATAACCTACTTATAACCTTACTTACTAAGTCCCATGAGCCTTCAAGTATAATCCCATAAAGTAGCCCCAAAAGGGAACTACAATGGAGGGTACAGGTAGGATTCAATGTTTGTGGTCTACGGAGTAGATAGGGAAGTAGCGTTTACGGGTTTGGGGTTTTAGGGCTTAGAGTTTTAGGGTTTAGAATTTAGGAGTTTAGGGGTTTAGGATTTCGGGGTTTAGGGTTTAGGGTGTAGGGTTTTAGGGTTTCGGTGTAAAAAGAGGGATCTACAAGGGTTCTTTTCGGAGTCTACAAGGGTCTTAAGAATTGGGTTTTAAGCGATTTTTGGCCTAGTTGTCGGGTATCATGCAGAACTACAGGTTAAACTTCTTTGGGTACATAGGGATTTTACAGGGACTATACTACCCAAAAAAGGTTAAAGGTTACCTACTCGACTACTAGGTTGAGGTTTAGGGGATAAAGCTCCAGGTTCTTAGGGTTTAGGTCTCTCGTTTTTTGGATTTAGGGGTTAGGGCTCTAGGTTCTTAGGGTTCAGGGCTCCAGGTTTTTATGTTTAGGGGTTAGGGTTCTAGGTTCCTAGGGTTCAGGGCTCCAGGTTTTTAAGTTTACGGGTTGGGGTTCTAGGTTCTTAGGGTTTAGGGCTCCAGGCTTTTAAGTTTAGGGGTCAGGGTTCTGGGCTCTGAGGGTTTAGGGCTCTAGGTTTTTAGGATCTAGGGGTAAGGGTTCTAGGTTCTTAGGGCTTAAGGCTCACAACGATCAGGTACCTGAGCTCCTCAAATACTGGCATTCATTGACAGCCTCACCTGTTTGGTGCTTGTTTGGGGACAAGTTGATGGTCTCCACGTCCGCTAAAGAAATCTTGTTGGGGAGGCGAAAGGTGAGCCTTGGATGTATGGCACCCGGAGTTAAGGGCTCTTGGGCTCTCTGGGAAGAAACCCTTCATTTCCAGCTTCAGCCCTGAGCAATCCAAGCCTTGTATCTTGAACCCGGAGAGCTGCCAAACCTACGAGCCCTACGCTTGGGAAGACAAGGCAACTCGGCGAGGTGGGTTACAGGTAGCAATCGCACGTTTCAAACGTCCATGCATACATACATACATGCCTGCATACTTACATATGGTATGTACGTGTATGTATGTGTATGCATGTATATTGTATGTGTATGTATGCCCGTATAAGTATGTGTGTATATGTATATACATATATATATATATATATATATATATATATTATATATATATTTATATACATATACATACATTTTTATGTATAGCTGTACCGGCTCTACACATGGGTGCACTCAAGTATAGGGCCTACTTGCTAATTTAGTCCCTTGTCTGGCAAGTGCACCTCAGGGATCACCGCGCGAAGAAGTTCAGCGTCCTTCGGGGCAGATCGCAGACACTCGGGGTACTGTCTGTTAGAATAGGGTTGCTATTAAGGGTTCCTTTATAGGGGTCTATGCGGAATCTCTATAGCAGGGGTCTTTGATGTAGGGGCTTTAACGATTAGAAAAGGGCTTTGAGGCCCATTATACTATGAATTCAATAAGGAACCCCCGCAGTGGTATCGGTGATTATGTAGCCGTCTATATTAGGCTGTTGGGGTTTTGGAGCTATGCGGTTTACATGGCGCCTAAAGGATATAGAGTCATAGCCTTGTATAGGTAATGGGCCATTGTTTTACCTAGTGGAGGTTTAGGTAGGGTTTAAGGACCCTACGAAACCTACACTTCTATGATCATGACCTCAGCGGTCTCGGTGGTTTTGGCCGTCGACCATGCACGAAAATACAGTGTGTCTTGCTCTACAAGTTTAAGGCTCCCTATAAGGTCAAGTCTTTTCACACTTCAGGGGCAAGTGGGCACCGTGACAGGATTCTGCGTCCTGCTCCCGCTCTGGCAGAACCGAACCAGCCTGCCGGGGAGAGATGATTAAATGCAGCTGTTAGGGTGTAGGGGCTTACAGCTGTACCAAATTCTGAGTATCGGCTGCAGGGTCTGAGGTGGTTTGGGGATGAAAACTAGGAATTATGAGGGCTCTGATGTTGCAAACAGCAACATTCGTACGGTTGATGATATAAATCCTGCATTACCTTAAGGGCCCTAAACTATGGGAAATATGGTATATACCTTATTATGGGTCATGCAGGATTTATATCATCAACCGTAGGAACTATAACATACTACCCAACAAACCGCGTGTTTGACTTCAGCGGAAACGAAGCCCCGGAACTGAAAGAAAACCGATCGCCGCAACTACTGCGACCCTAAACCCTAAGCCCTAAACCCTAAGCCCTGAACCCTGAACCCTAAACCCTAAGCCCTAAACCTTAAACCGTAAACCCTAAACAGCTGAAATCACGAAGGCCACGGTGCCCACTGCCTGGCCCAGGGATCTCGCGGCCTCCGGCGATGGAATGTCCGTTTGGACGGTGCGGTCGTCACAGGGGTTTCCGAAAGTTAGGGGTACCTTAACAGGGATCTATGAGGGTTCCTTAAAGGGATCTATAAGGGTTCCTTAAAGGGACCCATAAGGGCACCTTAAAAGGGATCTATAGGGGCTCCTTAAAGGGATGTATAAGGGTTCTATAAAGGGTTAAGGGTTTAGTGTGAAACTTGATAGAATTCCTACTCTTGATGGCATCCTTCCGTACGAGTACGCTGTTGTTTGAACTTACACACTGGTCGTGCCTCCCTGTAGCCCTCAGCTTTTGCGACCGCCAGGACATCCGAAGGCGTTACGACCCAAGCAAGAAAAGGCGTCCTTTGGACGCGCAGGCCGGACGGGAGGGATAGGCCCCTGTAGTTCCCTCTTCGTACTTCTAGTTTCACATTGGTAGCGGAGCCTCGGCTCCTAGATCCTAGCTGTTGCAATGCCGGGGCAAGCAGAAGCACCACCTGACGGGGATCCTGTAGTACCTGAACGTGAAGTCTCAGCGGCGCAGCCTGCTGCTGATCAGATTGATGCTAGTTTTCGCGATGATGATGCTGACAGATGGAATGGTGTGAACCAGTGGGACGACTCCCGGTGGAGTCGTTGGGGAGACCGAGGTGACCAGTCCCGGGGAAACGAGTGGAATCACCACGGTCTGCAATGGGAAGCTGGAGCTACACCGGCTTGGGAACGGCGCCAGAGTTGGGACGCCACCACGGCGGGCACGGTCGGAAACACCGACCGATGGAGCACGGGCAGCGATGACCCGTGGTCCCACGGACGTGATCCGTGGACTGCCGGAGCTCTACACGAAGATCGCCACCAACGAGGCAGCGGTTGGCCGGATCATGGACGAGCTCCCTGGGCGGATGGTCGAGCTGGCCATCCACATGGGAGCGATTCCGGAGACCACGGATCTGGCTCGTGGGGCGGTAGCTATGGTCAAGACGACAACGGAATAGCCTGGAACGGATGGTCCCACTACGACGGCGGCGGGTTCCAGGGCAAGTTCGATGGCCAGCGGGGCGGCTACGGCGGAGGACGAGCCTCCGAAAAGCTCGCCGTGCCGAGCTTCACTGGTGAGGACAGCGACGACATTGGAAGCTCAGCCCGCAGCTACTTGAGACAGATTGAAGCGTGGAGGAGGATGACCTACCTGCCCCCGTCGCAGCAGGGACTCGTCCTGTACCAGAACCTTGGTGGAAAGGCATGGATTGCTGCGGAGGAGCTTTCGGTTCCGAGGTTGGCTTCAGATGGCGGGGTCGGCTACTTTGTTTCCTGGGTAAATGCGAGGTTCCTGGACTTGGAGGTGGCAAGGATTGGAAAGGCCTTCTCTGACTTCTTCCGTAGACTTAAGAGACGACAGGGCCAAACCATTCGAGAATACAACTCTGAGTATGACCGCCTTCACGCCAGACTGCGAGAAGTGGGCTGTAGTATTCCCCAGGAGTGTGCTGCATGGCTGTATATTGACCGCTTGCAGTTGGAAGAGGCCCAGGAGCTGAACTTACTCGCTAGTGTGGGCAACGAATACAACCTCCTCAAGCTTCAGCAAGCTGCAGTTCTACACGACCGAGGTCACCGCAAACCCTGGGAAACCGGACGACCCCGAAAACCCCACTCTGCTCACTTGACAGGCGTTGCAGAAGGTGATGGCTCCGACGACGACCTCCCCCATGGCGAGGAGGACATCGACCTCGAGGATGGGGTGCCTGAGGACGTGGCGGTGGCCTACGCGACCTATCAGAGCGCAGAGGACCGCTACAAGGACCAGGCGAAAGCTCGTGGGTATCAGGGTGATCGGACTTCGAATGCTGCCAAGGATCCTCCGAAGAAGGCCGACTTGTCGCGCGAGGACAAAGTCAAGCTCATGAAGTCCAGGTCGTTCTGTGGGAGCTGCGGGAAAAAGGGGCATTGGCACCGTGATCCGGAATGCCCGAACTACCACACCTCCGCTCAGGGCGCTTCGAAGAACATCAAGGAGATTGGGGTGTGTCATCATGTGCCTGCTGAGGTATACTCGCTTCGACATGAAGGAGCGTCTCTCTTGGGCATTACGGACACCGCGTGCGCCAAGGCCGTTGCGGGCACGATGTGGTTGCAGCAGTACAGTGATGCACTGAAGGAGATCAATGCTACGCCGGAGCTCGTGAAAGAGGCTGAGGCATTTCGCTTCGGAACTGGTAAGGTTCATCATTCCTCTTTCCATGTTGTGCTGTGTTTCAAGCTGGGCACCAAAGTGGTGGAGATGAAGACTTCCATCATCAACGGCGACGTGCCTCTTTTGATGTCAAAGCCGGCACTGGCTCAGCTCGGCATGATCTACGACGTGGCGGAGAACCGCGCCGACTTCACACGAGTCGGCCTGCACCAGGTGGACCTTGTCACCACTTCCTCGGGGCATCCTGCGATTCCCATTGTTCCGGCAAAGCCCACCTTAGGGTCTGAAAGACTCGTTGTCGGAGAGACTGAGGTCCAGAGCTGCCCGCAATACACGGCGTTTGCGCTTTCCATGGTAGGCAATGCTAGCGGCTCTTCGAGTAGTACGTCTAGCTGGGGCCCCAAGGCTACAACAACGCAATCCACGCCTTCACCGACACCATCCACTTCTACCACAAAGGCTCCTCCATACAAGATCTTCTACGATAAGAAACTATCTCCAGAAGTCAGGGAGCTGCTCACCCAGGATCGTCTGTGCGAAGTTTCCTTTACGAGTTGGTGGGAGAGGACCAAGATTAGTTCAGACTTCTGGTTGGAAGGCGAGGCAATGTGGTATCGCATTCATGTTGTGCCCCGAAGAGCCCTGTGCAACCCATCCACATGGAAGACGCAATCTACCGTACAGAAGAGCATGCTACTTCAGTCAATCGGAGATATTCGTGTGACCGAGGGTTTCTGCTGTAGGACAGGAAAGCCTTTGGAAGCTGCCGTTGATCAGTGGAAGCATGATCAGAGCGAAGCTGCATTCCCGTTGTTGTGGATCGGCAGATCATCTTTCGCGAAAGTGCGATCCTGCCCGCCGCCTCCTACGACGACCGCCCTTGCAGGACATGGCATGCAAGCAGCCGGCGATTTCCAAGATGACCAAGACCCAGCTGCTCGAGGAGTGCAACCGCCTAGGACTTGTGGTCCACAGGGCATGGACGTGCGAGGAACTCAAGGCCACCATCATGGAGCACCGGATGAACGACCCCACGCACAAGCAAGCGAATGCACTGAAGTCGGTGTCCTCAATGACACTGGCGGATCTGCGAGTGAAGGCGGACAGCCTCGGGGTTGCCTACTCCGAGAGGACCACCAAGGGCAACCTCATCCGGCTCATCAGGGACGCGGTCTCGACCCCAGGCTCGGAGTTGATGAAGATTGGCAAGTTCAAGGGGTACGAGTTCCAGGAAATCCCGCGGAGCTACGGCATGTGGGCGGCGCGCGAAGTCAGGATGAGCCAGAACCCCCACGTGGAGTTGATCCGCTATGCCAAATGGTGGGAGGCCAAGGAGTACGAGGAGAACTACGGCAGCGAGGGCACCCTGGAAGCGAATGCGACGGTCCCCTACCCCGCGGACGTGGCCAGTGTGGCGGCATCCTCCGGGACGGCGCCCTGGGATCTAGTGCCGGACCAGCAGCCGAGCAGGAAGGAACTCGACCTGCCCTTCGACCCGAGGGCCACGAAACGGGGAGCACCGACCGGCGCCACCAACGAGATGGAGTCGGAGATCGACCCGACCACTCTGGACGAGATCAAGGCCCTCGAGACCAGGCTCGCGATCCTCAAGCAGAAGGCGAAGGCGGCGGCAGGGCCCGGGAAGGGCGCACCGTGAGCTTCGGGAGAGCCTCTTCGGGCGAGGACCTCGCCCAGTCCGAGGAGGCGAAGGATTGCGAGGAAACGACACTGCACCACGACGGCTTCTGCGAGGCGGATGAACGGCATCTACTACCAGATCAGGGACGGCGTCACGGGCTAGTTCATCCTCCTCCTCTTCCTGAGAAGCTTGGTTTCTATGAGCACGGTGGCACCCATTTTGGCAATAAGCCCACCGAGCATGAGCGTGTATGCTGTGGACAGGACTACGACGCCACCACCCACGGCATCTTCATCACGACCGATGAGTTCGAGCGCTCGGGGATTAACAACACTCCCATCAACTACCAATGCTACCGGGCCGGGCGACATCGTGATGATCCCTTCACCCAGGCCTACAACGACAAGGACTTCCAACCTGAAACCCTGGCCAGACTCCTCAACCTTCTCGACTACAAGCCTGTGAGAGGAGCCCGAGATGGGAAGTTTGGAGGCAAGACCGGCGACCCAGTGAACTACTTCACCTACGGGATGTTCACGCACGGCGGGATCGTCGGAGTTACTACGAAAACCCGCGAGTGTGACAATGTGGTCAGGTACCTCAACGCCTACGGCAAGTACCACCTCGGCGGGGCGGCGTCGTGGTCCTCAATCAGCCTCTCCCGCGACGTGACCACGGAAGTTCATCACGACTACCACAACTACAAGGGCACCAGGAACTTCACGACGAGCGTCGGGCAGGACTCCGGAGGAGGATTGTGGATTGAGGACCGCAGCGTGACCGAGAACACGCTTTCCGGCGATGTGAAATGGAGGCGCACGAGCACCGGGCAATGGCTGCCCGGACGAACCTACGACACGCACCACAAGTTTCTCGAGTTCGACCCCTTCCTCAAGCACGCCACCGAACCATGGACCGGCAGCCGATGGAGCGTGACCTACCACACGACCCGCAACCTCTGCAAGGGCGGCCCGGAGATGCTCAAGTTCCTCAAAGGATGTGGGTTCCCTCTACCTAGGAGGCAACCGTTGGCAGCGAGCGAAGAGAGGGCGACTAGGAAGCCGCGAGCCAGCACTAGGCGAAGTATCTTCAACAACGCCGCAAAGATCGGAGTGATGATGGCCACGCTTATCACTGCGGCCGGCAGCTATATGTCGGAGCACTTTGCCCCGAAGCCCGACGCCGAGCCGATTGTCATCTTCGAGATCGGGAACACGGAGGCGACCCACGAAGCCGCGTCCATCGGAAAGGATGTGTTCGAGCCGATGTCTTGGGAACGATATCGTACTCCGGAAGGCAAGGAGAGTGCCTTCCACATTGTCAACGGAGGAGGACCTCGAGAACTACGCCTCTGCCTCGACAGCAGACCTCAGGAATGTGGTGAGGCAGTCCTCGACCTGGCAAGGCTGCAGATCGAAGACGGCGGTACGGTGGTGATCCATGGCCCGGCCGACGACGAGATCCTTGACCTCATCGACCACGACCACTTCTTGAAGGAAGCGAAGCGGTACCAGAGCAACGATGAAGGGAGAGTGTTCTTGGTGATGTTCAGAGAAAAGGCAGACACCGAACCGGTGTCGTGCAGAGACCGCGTCCACGAAATCAAGATGGTCTCCAGAGACAGCGGGCCTCAGCCCTCCGACGAGCCTATGCCAATGGGAGCCGGTGGGATTTCTTTCGGCGCCAATACCCCCGGAGCGGTGGCAACTGCACTACGGAGGCTACACCAGAACCTCGGGCACCCGAGGCAGGAAGATCTGATCCGACACCTCCGGCTTGCAGGATGTGACCCCTCGGTGCTCAAGGCAGCGAGATCAATGAAGTGCCAGGTCTGTGCTGCCAATGCAGGACCGAAGATTGCCCGACCAAGCACGCTACCACCTATGGCCGACTTCAACGACACCCTCGGCCTCGACCTCTTCTTCTGCCACGACACCGATGACGTGAAGCACGGGTTCCTCTCTGTTGTCGACTATGGGACCACCTATCACCTCGCTGTGAGGGTAGACGGCCAGTCTGCCGAGGACATCGAGGCCAAGTTCAACGAGATGTGGCTTTTGCCATTCGGTCCACCAAAGGCGGTGGTGATCGACCTGGAAGGCGGCTTGCAATCAGCCCTCGGGCGGCTATGCGACTGGCATGGCATTGGGGTGCGCAGTGTGGCTGCGCAGAGCCATTGGCAAGCCGGCGTCGTCGAGCGACAACAGGCCTGGTGGAAGCACATCTGGGACAAGGTGAGCTATCAGCTCTCCGTCACTGAGGACGAAGTTGATCTGGCTGTCCCCATCATCAATGGCGCAAAGAACGACCTGAGAAGGAGATGCGGCTACAGCCCTTCACAGTGGGTCTTCGGCAAGGCCCCACGAGTACCAGAAGATATCCAAGACCCAGACGGTGGAGGGCATGTTCTATGGGACGTCAGCGAAGATGCGAAGTACCAGAGGCAGGCAGCTATGAGAGCCGCCGCTCGCGTGGCTTTCCATCAAAGCCAGACTGATGGGAGGCTACGCAAGGCGATGCTACAGCGAACGAGGGTCGCATCACGACCCCTCGACGTGGGCGAGAGCGTGCACTTCTGGCACAAGCCGAAGAACCGGCGGCGAGGATGTTGGACTGGCCCAGCCGTGATCGTGGGCAAAGAAGGGGGCAACTACTGGCTCTCGAAAGGGGGGCGATGCAGACTCACATCGCCCGAACATGTGCGACCGACGACCGCTGAGGAGGTGGGCGCCTTGCTGACTATGAAGAGTACCCAAAGGGAGATGGAGCGCCTACTTGATCATGACCCCGACGGAGACGAAGCCTACGAAGATGACGAGCAGGAGTACCTGGACGACCTGCTCGAGGACCTCAGTCTACCCGGCGACGATGATAAGGCCGCCGAGCTCGAGAACATGGAGCTGGACGACGAAGGCATCGCCCTCGACGCCTTCGACGATATCGCCCAGGAAGCCACCGAACTCCCGAGGCGAAGGCTGAAGAGGAAAACTGCCGTGGCGGAGCTCAACCCCGACAGACACGAGGCGATGATGTTGAAGACCCAGCTCACAACGAGAGGTCTGGAAAAGCGAAAGGAAAAGGAGCTCAAGTGGACCGAGATTCCGCCAGAGGTCCACGACAAGTTCAGGGAAGCCGAGAAGACTCAATGGGACGAGCACCTCTCCTTCGACGCTCTCGAGCCCTTGACCACTTCCGAGAGCGAGCGCATCCGTCGCGAGGTACCTGCCGAACGTATCTTGCGAAGCAGGTGGGCCTACAAGGACAAGAACTGGTCAAGGCGACGTGAAGGAGAAGATGTCCCCTGGAAATGTAAGTCCCGGCTTGTCATTGCCGGACACACTGATCCGGACTTGACCGATGAGAACCTCAACCTCTCCACTGACGCGCCCACTTTGTCAAGGAGTGGGTTGGCTTGCATGCTGCAGCGCACGGCAGACGGCCTGGAAGAGACCGACTCATGGACATTGGCCGCAGGAGACATTCGATGTGCGTTCCTCACTGGCAGTTACCTGGACCGCGAACTGTTCATGCACCAGCCAAAGACGGGTTTTCCAGGCATGAAGCCGGAGCAACTGGTGCGCATAAAGAAGAATGTTTTCGGGCTCGCCACGAGCCCCCACACCTGGTGGCAAGATCTACAAGGCGGGATCAACGAGATTGAGATTGAGTTCCCCGACACAGACTATGCCGGAAAATACAGGTTCGAACAGTCTGCTATGGACCCGTGTGTTTTCCTTCTGAGGAGATGGAACGGAGAGAGCTTCGAGGGCACACCCGTTGCCTACCTGGGGTGCCATGTTGATGATCTGCTTGTTGCTGGACCGCGTGGCCTGCAGCAGACGATACAGCGGGCCTTAGCCGCAAAGTTCGAGATTCAGGACTGGGAGATGGACGAGTTTGAGTTCCTCGGCTCGAAGATCCAAGTCCGGGAGCACAGCATCAACATGACCCAGGAAAAGTACGCGGACACCCGGCTCTTCTACCTGGACCTGCCGGCCGGCGTGAGCGACGATGACATGGCGCCCCCAGAACTGGTGAGCGATAATCGAAGCCTTGTCGGCGCACTTTCCTGGATGAGCGCGCAGACCCGCCCAGACTTGACATGCTGTGTTAGCATGGCACAGCAGCTACAGAAGTCACCGACATACGGCGACTTGAAGTTCACCAATGCCACAGCCGTTAAAGCCCACCAGTTCCGAGAGAGAGGACTCGAGTTCAGGGGCATCCCCAAAGACAGGATGATGATCGTGGTGTTCCACGATGCGGCCTGGGCCAACGTTCCCGAGGCCGACCCGGACGAGGACTACTACGTCCTCAGCCACGACGAAAACCAAGCGGGCCTACAGACCGAAGGGCCGTATGCTTCTGGAGTAGCTCGGAAGGCCAAAAAGGGCAACTCCCGAGTTGCATCGCAGCTCGGCGTGCTAGTGACCTTCGTTGATCGAGGAGCCCTTTCCGGAGAACCGGGCCACTGCAACATCGCCGACTGGAAGTCCAGAGCCGGACAGCGAGTGTGCCGGAGTACGTTTGGAGCGGAGACCCAGGCGTGTGCAGAAGGGCTGGAGACTGCGCAGTACCTCCGGTCAATGTACGAGAGTTTGACCAAGGGCTACCTCGTCACCGTCGAGGCGGCAGAGCTCCCCATCCTTTGCCTGAGCGATTGTCGGTCTCTTTATGACCACCTGAGGCGGCAGGGGATACCGAGAGTCCCGAGCGACAAACGGCTCGCAGTGGACTTAGCGGCCCTGAGACAGGGCCTTAGGTTAGAGAAATGGTGCAACGAGCTCCCGATAGCGTGGATCCCGGGCTCACTCCAAAGGGGAGATGTGCTCACCAAACCGCAAAATCCCAGCGAATGGTGGGACATGATCGGAGCGAAGTTGCTTTTGCCATTGGCTATCGCCAAAGGAGGCGTTCTGATCAGTAACAGAAAGATCAGACAGAAAACCAGTGTGAAACTTGATAGAATTCCTACTCTTGATGGCATCCTTCCGTACGAGTACGCTGTTGTTTGAACTTACACACTGGTCGTGCCTCCCTGTAGCCCTCAGCTTTTGCGACCGCCAGGACATCCGAAGGCGTTACGACCCAAGCAAGAAAAGGCGTCCTTTGGACGCGCAGGCCGGACGGGAGGGATAGGCCCCTGTAGTTCCCTCTTCGTACTTCTAGTTTCACATTTAGGGTTGGGGGTTTCCGAGAGTTTGGGGTACCTTAGGGTTCCTTTGAAGGGCTACTTTGATAAGGGTACTATAAGGGTTCCTTTACAGGGCTCTATGAGGGCTTCGAGTTTCCGAAAATTTGGGGTACCTTATTTTGGGGTCCTTATAACAGGGATCCTACCATTTCGGGTACTATTCTTGGGTTCCCTATTTTCGGAAACTCCCATATGTACCATCATCCCACGCATGGACTTCTCTATCGAGCTTCCCAAGTAAAGAGCATATGAACAGAAAGTTATACCTACACATACAATGTTGCAATGTGCAAGTACATACACAGACACTTACACATACACACACGCACACACTCATTAGTACGAACGTAGCTATGCACCGACCTCCTTGTATGCGTGCGTGGTGTGTGTGTGTGTGTGTGTGTGTGTGAGAGCTGTGAGAGAGAGCCGGAGTGCGCCTATGCACGTTACGAACGAGCGCTCGTATGCATGTATGTATAGTTGCATGAACGATTGCAAGCATTCAAACTTTGCATCTAACGGTATATGTAATTAACTGTCTATGACCATGTATATGTATATGTGCTACACCTCTTTCGGTATGTGTAGGTGCATGAGTTTGTGTATATGCATACAACCGCACATTTATGTGTACCTGTATTTGTGTATGTCTGTGTCCGCGTCTACGTCGCGGTGTGTGCGTGTTAATTATGCATATATGTATGCATATGACAGTCTGCCCGGCATGTATGACTGTACGCTTGTGAGCACGCAGGCAGGCAGGAAGTAAGTAAGGCAGGGAGATTGGTGATAGGCGCATGCCGGAATGCAGCCATGCATGCGTGGGTGGGTAGGTGGGGTGGGTGGGTGTTGGATGCAGGGAGGGAAACACGTACACATGAGTCTGCAAACAGCTCACGTTCTTGACGAACCTTAACACGCAAACCCCTAACCGCACATGTCGTTGAAGCCTGCACTACCTTAATGACCCTAAACTATGGGAAGTATGGTATATTCCTCATTATGGGTAATGCAAGGTTTATATCTTCAACAGTTGCGGAGATCCTAAGCAAGAAAGTGTTACCTGGCCAACGCCTCAGGCACGATGAGGCGCACCGCCGAGACCCTTCCCAGGAAGAGCTTGTCGTTGTGCTGCGAGGGGAGGCAGGATTGGGGTTTGGAATTTTAGGTTTTAGGGTTTCGGGTTTAGGGTCTCGTAAAACAGACAAGGCAAGGGAGAAGTAGAAACATATCAGAGAACTACGAAGGTATACGCTAGGGCTAGAGAGTTTAGTGTTCAGGGATCTGATGGCCGAAATTCGGCGGTGCCACAAGTATCCTGAAAAATTGGGATCGTGGGAGATTCCTTACTAAGAGCAATCCAGGATTACGTAGCAAATCGCCCAAGACAACTAAGGAAATGCCATGACATGAGGCTATGGGTTACAAACTCTGACTTTTCAACTTGTCTTTGTATAGCGTGCATGAGCTTTCATCAAGTTTGCGTTCCAGAGAACCCAATACCTCCAATCACTGTGTCCCTGCAGTATCTTGCCTGTAATTAGTCTCCATCGTTTTCCCTTGTTGGGGTTACCTTACAGCATCCTAAACATAAAACTGGTTACACCAAATAAAGGAAGTACATTGGAGACTAATTATAGGTAATCATTGGATATTGAGCTCTGTATGTCCGGTCCGTCCGTTCAGGATCTTTCCGAAGATCTCTTTCAGGGTTTAGGGTTTATGGTTTACGGTTACTTGGCTGCAACTTTGGGGGGAGGGCGTCTTCTTTCGAGACTCTTTGCAAGAAGGTTTTTGGGCTGTGTACCGCTCGCCTGGTTGAACTAGATACCGGGGCCTTGTCTGAAGAACATGATATTGGCATTTCGTATAGTATAGCGACACATAGGGACAGACAGGAAGATCGATACAACTTACTACGACCCAACATCAGGCGGGTCGGGCGTGAGTGTTCGCGTTGAAACAGCATCAAGGACCGACGCCATAAGTCTTGCTTTGCCAGCCGTCCATGCGGAAATACTCCCTTTTACTGGTGTGTTGAAGAGCTGCAACTTGAAATAGTACAAACTTATAGCCTAAAGCCGAAGCGATTGCACATGATCGACGGAAATTCATGATAACTTCTGATACATTATACTACTTATGTGAGTATCAGATTATTCCTACATTAATTAAAGACTTTGGGACAGCTCTTCCCAGAGACCCCCAATTTCCGCCCTGAAACACCACTCGTTCAGAGCGTACCGGGCTCTCTCCGTTTTCCTCGCCATGCCCGACTAAGCGCCCCTTCGCTGAAGGCATGATCCCATCATCGCAGTCATCCACCCGATGCTGAGCTACCGGCTTATATCCTGTACCCTAAGGCCCCACAGTAGTTCCTTCTTGGGGTTCATATTTAGAATCTTATGAGGTAATCCCAAAAAGGAACTACTTTGGGGCCTCTGGGTAGTGTATAAAGGCAAACATCCAAATTCACCAAACCCTTGGCCCCGTACGGTAAACCCCAAACTGACCATCGTGTGCACGGCAGGACGGGTGAATGCGCAATGCGATTGCGAATTAAGCCCCGGTACACGGCACCTTCCAGGGAGCTCAATAATCTGCAGTTGAAGAATGTTACCTAACTTGACTTATGGAAGACTTGGAATGCTGGTTTGATGTATGCCGTGTGTCCGCATTGCTTCTTCATTTTGAGTCTTGCTGTTTCTGTGGTTCATGGCTTAGGAGTTAGCATCATGGAAATTCTTCGGGATTTCGTCCCTTCCAAGAGAGCCAGAAGTAGGGTTAAGGAGGGTCCCCTTCAAAGGGGTATCCCGAAGTTGGAAACCGAATAGCCTCAATCCTTAAGAGTAAACTCTGGGGGGATCCCAGCACTATTTGGCCTTAATCCGGTTTCCAACTTTATGGGGTTTACTGTACCTGGGACTGGGCTTTCAGATTTTGAACTGACTCGATGGCTGATGCTCCGAGGCGTGCAGTGCAAGGCCCTGCAAGGATAAACCCCTTACATCCGAAGATCGGGGTTTAGGGTTTAGAGCTTCTATCATTCTAGCCCGAAGAGCTTTAGCCTCCGAATCATTCTAGGGATTTGATCTACGGACCCAAGAAGGTTACCGTTAATGCTTCCCTATATACCCAGCCCCCTAAGTATCGGGGAGCTAGGGCTTCGGGTTCACAGCGCTCAGCAAGCTGAGAAGACATCGCCGTCTCTTGGGCTTGGGGGAACCTCCGAGTGTCCAATCGAGCAGAGCCCCAAGGGTCCAACTGTTGGTGATAGAAATCCTGCATTACCTTAAGGACCCTAAACTATGGGAATTATGGTATATTCCTTATTACGGGTCATGCAGGATTTATATCACCAACCGAAGTACCCAATAATCATATACTCTCCAAAGTCCTATAACCTACATAACTACCCCTACTGGTGATGGACAAAATCCTGCATTACCCATCACAAGGAATATACCATAGTTCCCATATACTATCCTAAAACCGAGTACCTAATTCTTGGATCCTTTGGACCCTTGGGGGAGTGGCCCGGGGTCTCTGGAGTTTGGGGGGCTTAGGGTGTAGGGTTTACAAGGGTTTGGCGTTTAGGGTTTAGGGCTTAGGGCTTGTTGGTGGTTTTGGGTTTATGGGGGGTTTGGGGTTTAGGGTTTCTTGGTGGTTTTGGGGGTTGAGGGGTTTAGTTTTCAGGGCGCAGGGGCTTCGGGGCTTGAAAGGTGGGGTTTCTTGTAAGTCCTGGTGTATCTGTGTCTTAGGTCCAAAGCTTTGGTTCCGGGTGCAAGGCTTGGGTTTAGGGTCGAGGATCTTGCCGAACTGGCCTGCAAGGCCTGTATGCCAGAGCACCATCTTCTCTGAAACTCCGAAACTTCGGAGTTTCAGGCTTAGGGCATAAGCTTTCTCGTTTGGGGGAAATGAAACTGTTCTAGACTCCAGTCCAGAAGCCAGCGCTAGACTACGGAATGTATACCAGAAGATTGAACAAACCTAATTGATTTGGGAGTTGGATATGTCGTGTGTTTTCGGGGGGGGGGGGGGGTCGGTTAGTCAGTCCATGGCCTGTACCGTGATCATGCGTTTTGAAGGTGAGCTGCTAGCGCTTTTCTGTGCTTGCTCTCAGCCAGCGGTGCGTCAAGAGTTCTACAATCCTGATTCCGGCGCATCTCTCCGACGAAGCGTGAACCCTAAACCCTAAACCTTAACCGTGAGGGCTTGGGGCTTAGAGCTGGGGTTTCGGAGCATCCGCCATTGCTTCCAAAAGGCCGCTCGTGGTCGATGTCTCGGCAGGTGGAGGAGCAGCCTGACTGCCTGCACATTCATAAGGGGCCTTAATAATTAGAGTACGGTTTTGGGCTATCTTATACTGTAACTATATATAGTAAGGAACCATAACAATAATAATGGTAACTATCCGAGAGGCTCCTCATACAGTACCATCATGGTATTATTAGGTCCCAAAAAGCCATCCTTATTACGGTTGGATATGAGGAGCCTCTAGGTATTTAGACTTCTCTACTACACAGACTTTTGGGCTCCCCTAACGTGACAGCACACACACACACACACACACACACGCTAATTGGACGAGCAATATCAACCTACTTGTCGGGTATCATGGGGAACTAAAGGTTAACCCTAAGGCTTCAAGTATCTAACTATCATATACTCTCCAAAATCGTAACCTACGCAACTACTATCCTAAACCCGAGTACCTTATTATTGGGTCCTTCGGATCCTCAGGGTAACCTTTTTGGTGATATAGGGATTATATAGGGACTATACTATCAAAAAAAGGTTAAAGGTTGCCTACTCAACGAC